GGCCAGCACCATCGCGAATGGCCTCTACTTCGCCTAGTCGGAGCGGGGTGCTGGGGCAATGCCGCTCACCCACAATATTCTCCTCGGGCACAACCGCTCGGTCCCACAGATTCAGAGACCAATGACCTTCCCTGACTAAGCGTGGATCTCTGGGGCTCACCTGTCCCCCTGAGCTCCAGGTTCGAAGGAGCTACCTACCTACTTTGACATGTCCACATCCTGCCTACCCCAGCCACACTCGCTCTTCCCTCCTCCTCTTTATCACAAAAGTACGAAAGTCATACTCCTAGTAGCTTACGCCAAAAAGGAATAGTCATCATTGATTCTGCTCTTTTGCTCACACTCTTGTCCCCACCCCCCCCGCCCCCACCCCTGAAATCCAATTCATCGGCCAATCTTGTTGGCTTTATACTCAAAATATATCACAAACCCAGGCTATGCTTCAGGTAACAGCCAACTAACTGCTAACAGAGCAATCCACCCGGGGCGGGGGGGAGGGAAAGGGTTCAGGGGGGACACCGATAATACCCAATTACTGCCACTCTGACCTAACTGATATTGATAGACTCTTCACCTTAAATTTCCCATGGGCTTTAGAATCAAATCTAAATCTGTTACTCTGGCCCCCAAACCAGGTCTCTGGACTGATTGCACACAACTCCACCCCTCTCACCCATTACCAACACGCCACACTCATCTTCCAGTTCCTCAAGCACGCCAAGGGCTTTCCCGCACATCAGGGGCTACATCTCAGCCATGACGTCAGCCTAAAATGGTCTCCCCACCCCCACCCTGTTCCCACCTTCAGAAGACTACCTCGTCATTCGAGTCTCGGTGTAGATGCCGCCGCCTCGGAGGCAGGCTCTGACCCGGCACTCCCCGTGGCCACCCAGGCACAGGCCGTCAGCAAGGAGTCTGTTCTGAGTCGCTGTGTAACGGTTATTACTTCCTGATGGAGTTCCTATGTTTGGGATCTGTCGTGGGTCACTGCCTACAGCAGTTATTACTTCCTGATGTATTTCCTGTTTATTACTTGTTTATTGTTGCTTCTCTCAACAAAAATCGGAGCGAAAAGAGAGCAAGCACTTCGCCTGTCTTGTTCATCCCACCAGTGCCTCCGAGCACTGGTGCCTGAGAACTATTGGTGGAATGAGTGAAGAAATTTCTAGATAGTAACGTTACCTCTGATCTTCTATTTATTTTCTGTTTCCTATGATTTACTTCTAAATCTAGGCATCAAATCCATATTTTTCTATGCTGCCTCCAAATCTAACTGGAACAAACAAGTGTGTAAACCAGCACACTGACTAATGCCTGCATGTCAGGTACCGTTCCGGTATGTTGCATTCACACACAACAACCCTAAGAGACAGGCACTGCTGTCACACGCATTCTTAGCTATGGAAACCCGGGTGGAGCCCGGCCGGTGTGGCTCAGTGGTTGAGCGTCAACCCATGAACCAGGAGGTCACAGTTGGATTCCCGATCAGGGCACATGCCCGGGTTGCGGCTCGATCCCCAGTGGGGGGCGGCAGGAGGCAGCCGATCAATGATTCTCTCTCCCTCTCCCTTCCTCTCTCTGAAATCAATAAAAAACATTTTTTTTAAGAGAGAGATTGAGCTGAGATTGGTCTGAGTTGCCATTTTTGTAGGACTCGGTCTGCCTCTTGCTTGCCCCAGTCCCTAAAGCAGTGGTTCTCAACCTTCCTAATGCTGTGACACTTTAATACAGTTCCTCCTGTTGTGGTGACCCCAACCATAAAATTATTTTCGTTGCTACTTCATAACTGTAATGTTGCTACTGTTATGAATCGTCATGTAAATATCTGATATGCAGGATGTATTTTCATGGTTACAAATTGAACATCATTAAAGCCTCAGTGTTAATCCCAAAAACAATATGTAATTATATATGTTTCCCATGGTCTTAGGCGACCCCTTTTGAAAGGGTCGTTCGACCCCCCAAGGGTCTCGACCCACAGGTTGAGAACCGCTGCCCTACGGTATGGCTCTCCATGGAGTTCACTGAAATTACTCCTGCCTTTCAGGGTTTTCAGAGCAGCTCTCTTCCTCCTGTCCCACTCGTGTTCAAAACCTGGCATCTTGTCTTGAGAGCGAGACTCCCCACCTGCTTTGTGCTCCTCCCACCCCACTTTTTTTTTACTTTAGCCCCAAAAACTCTTCTGGTTCTTTTC